TGAAATTTTTCCATCTTTGCATGAACAATATTTTCTTTGAGTAACAAGGATATTTTTGAGGATTTTAAGTCCCCCACTGCCCCTTCCTCCTGTATGGATGAACATAAGTGTAAATATCACTACTGGAATAGTTTATTTATTAACTTCTTTGCATTTTTCCTGGAAAAATAACAGGACTCAAAAACTTTTTTTTGATTTTATGATCTTAGGCAAATTGCTCTGCTTCATAACAATATAATGGCATAACTTTTTATTTATTTTGTGTGTGGTCAACTACAAAAACACCAGTAATAAAAGTACAATTAAAAGCTTTCTTCTTCAACATCTTTCCTCTTTTTTTTTAATGTTTGGTCATGGTATTTGTTGAATTTCATGATAAAAAGAAGATTGCAGTTTTTACTCATGTTAGTATCACAGAGTCAGTGTAGTGAGCTGCTGCTACTGAATACATTAATCCTCTAATTTTCATTTGAAGTATAGGTAAATTTTTCAATGTGTGTTTGAATAAATTCCTACAGCTGAAAATATATTTGATATTGGGAAGTTGTGTTATCTGAGAGATAATTTTGGAAAATACACTTTTTTAAACAGTCATATTTATACAGACAGGAAAACTGAAGAGTCATATTTAACATTAATTTGGTTTTCTTCACTTTTCTGGGTGAACTTCAGGCCATAGTGAGATTAATAATAAAATATACATTTACTGTAGTGAGATCAGGATTTCATCTCATATTTTTCAGTGTTCAACCTAAAGTTATATTTTCCATGTGCTATTTTGTTAATTACTAGAAAGGGAGAGTATTATTCTGACATACAGCAATTATTTATAGAGTTCTGACTGGGTTTCTCCTCTAGTACTTTGAAGCATTTAAAAAAGTTGGTGAGTATTTAATAGAGGAAGCTAAGTGTGAAAAACAAACCTATTTGCAAGTAGGGGAAGGGATGAAGGATGTGCATGCTCAGTTGTTTGTGTAAGAAGCTAATTTCTACTTTAGGCATTACACGTGTAGACGTTTTTCCTGTTTCACAGAGAATTTGAAAGGTAAGGTAAATTTAGGAAAATTTAGAGCTAAGAATGGTGGTTAACTGTGGTTTGCTTTGAGCTATGGGTGGCTGAAGTGATGCAGGGGAACTTCGAGGGATGGGTTGACTTTAAGTGAAATAGAGCAGGCTGGGGTAGAAGCGTTCTCCTGGTGGTAACACAGTACCTTTTCTTTTTTCTTTTTCTTTTTTTTTTTCCATTTCCCAAGTCCAATTCTTGCATCTGCTCAGGAGTTCTGCTGGGGTTTGTGCCTTCAGGTCATGCCTTGCATGGCCCCAAGGCACAGCATCCTGGCTGGCCTGTGGTTGTGACTGAGGTGAGACCCACGTCTGAGGGTGTCCCATCCAGGCACCTTTGGCCAGAAGCAGTGTGGAAATGCACTTACATCTGAAAAGTGGACTGAGGCTTTAAAGAGAGGGGAACAAACAGCACTGAGTGTGTTGGATGGTCCTGAAAGACTCTGGCCGTTTTTGTTAAATGAAATGTCTGAAGGATAGTGGGAATTTAAGGAGTGGAATTCAAGATGGGTTTTTTTCCAAATCTCATGCATCCACTTTCTCAGCAGGATCCATACTAGTGCCTAGAGAGACAACCTCTGGTTCTTAAGGAAAAAAAAATCTGTACAGAATTAAAATATACTGTTGGGTAACTTAAAATGATGAACTTCTGGAACATTAAAGCTTTGAGCAAATTAAAGCTCCATCAACTAGACAGAGTCTAAATAACTTGAGAACTTTGAACTAATAGATTTCATAGAGTGAGAGAGAAATATTGACTAGCAATGACAACAGTGACAGTATGGTATAGGAAAATGCCCTTTCTTGGCAGATCTGAACCAACTTGATGCATAGAATCAGAACAGTTGGGTAGGTTTGGTTGTGTGAATGCTCCAGCCCAAATATGTTATTTATACCAGTTACATTTGCATAAAAGTCACATTTGAATTTGCCAGATGTCTGTCTATGTTTGCTTAAATCATGAGGTCATTCCATGAAAGGAGCAGAAGCTAAAAATACTGAGAGAAGACTGTTTGGAAAAGTGAGATTTAAACTATCTTATAAATTTTCCCATTTTGTGGTATGTTATGCAAGCAGGAGCACAGCAATGTGGAGGTACTCTTTGAGAAAGCTGTGTCCATGGCTAACAGTTCATTCAACAATATATTACATAACAAAGCTTCATTTGTTTCTATTTCCCAGCCAAGCCAATTTTCCCATTAACAAGCATGTTCTCCTTCTGAACAGATTCAAATGTACCATTTTCAAAGACAGCATCATTACTTCTCTTTTTGTGTTATGTGAAGATCCCAAGTCTTTCTGGGTTGTTTTGTCTTTACTGTAGCATTGAAGATTTTTATATGCTCTGCTCAAGGCGATGCATATTCATAAACTGAGCAAACAAGGGGGAACTAAATTCTCAAGTTTTATGTTATTGCATTTACATAAATGTTTAACAAGCAATAAACTTTTCTTATGCACAAATGGAAACTGCCAACTAACCACTTGAGTTCAACAAAGGCTCCTCAAATGTGTACTTAATTCATTTGAGACTTTTAAAATCTTGCTCAAGCCTGAGGAAATTCTGGTTTGTTCATGCTGCAGCCAATCACTACACACATTAAACATTTACTTTAGTGCTTCGTGAAATAAATTTAATCCTATACAGTTTGAGATTGCAGGTAAATCCTATACAGTTTGAGATTGCAGGTAAAGAAATTGAACAGCAGCATATCAGAACACACATCTGGTGAGCTACTCTGGTCCCTTTAAAGCAGAATTTGCAAGGAAAGACTGCATGAAAAGAAAATGGAGAGTTTGGTCAAAGCTCAAGAAAGAATTGTCTAGGAGTATAATGATATAACATGCAATAAAAGAAAACCACCAAAATTCAGTTTCATGCTGAGCTTCTCCAATTGATATACCTGCCAGAAGCAAGAGAATCTGATGACATCATGTGAGAATTATATTAATTGGAGAAAGAGGTATCTCATGTTCTTTCTTAACGTGCAACAGATGATATTATGTGAACTGTGCTGTATCTGTGCATTCATTCCCCAAAGAAATTTGGATCACAAGCACAAAAAAAAAAATCTGCAAGCTTCCCCAAGCAAAATGTTTTGGTCCAGAAGATACAAAGGAGGCAAGACACTTTTCAAATCAGAGAAAATGCACCAGCACATCAGAGTGGGGGTTTTTTGTTCCATTGCTCCACACTCTTACAGATACAGCTTCTTTAGAGATTAGTTTGCTGTTTCTTCCATTTTCTTGTCAGTAGCAGCTGTTAGTTGAATATATGAAGAACAGACTTTTTTTACATTTATTTGAACTAGATCTGCTTTAAAATCTGTTGTAAATCAGTGGGCCAGGTTCTCATCAGGCTGTGTATGGAGCCCTCATGCCTGCTTTTGCAGAGAGATGCAGAATTTTGAGTAGCAGAAGTAGAAACACAGGCAGACTGGGTGGGATGGGGCTCTGAGCAGCCGATTCCAGTGGGAGGTGCCCCTGCCCATGACAGGGGGTTGGAACTGGATGATCTTTAAGGTCCTTTCCAACCCAAACCATCCTGTGATTCTATGCTTCTATTACTTAAGGAGAGTTTTATGATTGTGTGGTGTTTAGAAAATACGTGTGTTTTCTGCTGGTGACTGGATTTGATACATTCATCTGTGTTGAAAGAAATTGCCGAAATATTCTAACTACCCAGTTTTGCATAAATTAGAGGAACTTGTGGAGCAGAAAAGCACAGGGTCATAAAAATGTTTCCCTTTGTGTATTAAATCACAGCGCTGCAACTTTTTCCTGAGTGCATTCTCAAAGTGAAGTGGGAAGCTGTCACTATCCTTGCCTTGCATTGATGTGTTGATGTTTTTTAAAAAAGGCTATCTGCTGTAAAACAAAATGGGCATTCAAGTGACTGTTAGAGCAATTAACTGGACTGCTGATTGATAAACAGATCAGTTTTTGTTGAAAGCTGTAATTAAAGCTGTGAGTCCAAAATATATGAGTCAGGATACATTTTTTGAAAAACTTTCCGTTTTCCATTGCATATGAACCTGTGCAAAATAATCTGGCAGAAGTGCTGACTTCTTCAAAATTCCATTACTTCCCTTCCCTTGAGGGGCATAATTTTTATGCCACGTTAGCCTTGTACCACTACTTTTCAGTCTCACCCTGTGTTGTCATTATATGGGTATTTAGTTGAATTTGGGCCGATTAAAGGATCGTCAGATTGAAAACCTCCCTCAGTTGTGATAATATTTGTTAGACGTCTGAACTTCAACATTCAAATGGAAGGAATTTTGCAGTGCATTTTATTTATTAATTAATGTTTAAAAAATTCAAATGCTTTTCAGTAAACCATATTTTTGTCATTTATATGATAAACTCTGCCAAATCTTGCTATGGTGTTCTCATCTTTTTTGGTGGGGAAGATTGTCTATACAGCAAGGATATATTTTTATATGTATATATAGTTCACATTGTTTGGCATTAGGGGATAAAATGTAGGAACAAGCAAAGTAAATAGCAAATATGTTGAAGTTTTCCTCTGGGAACTACTTTCATATGCTGCCATTTAAATTACGAGTAGGCTTTGAAACTTTGAATGTGCAGTCATATGTAGTGATCACTTTAAACCCAAAGCAGTGTTTCTATAAAAGCAACAGCTGTAATTTCCATGGGGATTTACCTAGTATGGCAGTTAGGCTGTTTAGCATTCTCAAATAGATTGTGTAGAATTTGACAGCTTTAAAGTTACTTTTAGCCTTGTGTAGATTTTATTTTGGAGAAAATCAAATACTCCACTGAAAAGTTGTTATTAAATTATGCACATTGAAATTACTTAGGTTCTTTAGTTGTTGAATTTTTGTTGTTTAATATGGTTGGTTTTTTGCTGACAAACCCAGGTTTTCTTTTAAAGTTGATTGATCTTATTATTTTTTCTTTTATTTCAATAGCTTGATGAAGTTGTCCGTCAGAGAAATCTGCATAGTTTGGAACTTTTCCTTTCATGTGCACAGAAACAGTTAAATGTTTTATTAAAGGAAGAGCCAACCCCAGCAGAAAACAGAGACTGACATTCTCAGTGCTGATGATACAGTGTGATTTGTGAAGCTGCAAATCTCCATCTAGCAAATGATGAATATATTCCAATCTTTTTGGATTGTATCGTTGAGTCAAGATTGATCTGAAATTCTTGATAGAAATGTTTGTGGATCATGTTCTTCTATTTATTTATTTATTTTACTACTATTATCAGATAGCAAATATGAGAGGGAAAAAAATCCTTGGAAAGAAAATTGGTTTATTTAGGATTTGTTTTATTTAGCATTTTGCTTTCATTACATTTTCTAGCAGCCCATGTCAAAATTTTCCGTGTTATGTCTGAAATTTTAACATTTCCCTGTTATGTCTGTTTTAAATTTGGCACCATGTGTTAATGTGATTCACCATTATTTTTGATATTTTAAAAAATGGAGACAAACATTTAGTTGATTATAGGTACAAATCCATCTCTATTTCCAAAATATCTACCCAAGTCCATTGCCTCAGGTGAACCTGAGTAGCTTATTATTTCTTACTGCTTTTGAAGTAGAACAGAAGAATCAATACTGAAACATAAGTGTTGTCAGGCATTTTTTAAGGCATTTATAAACAAATCCAGCTCTAGGAACAGAAAAATTTAAAAACTAAACAGTACATCTGTTTAGGGTAGCATAAAACATCGCCATGACCAATGTATAGCATGTACTTTATTTCTGTTTTACAGAGCTAGTTCAATTCCAAAAGTCATTTTCTCATGAAATTACGATTAATGTGACTGACCTCAGTTTCAGGAAGAAGATGTATGTAATTATGTGGAGACTGATGCTGCACTGCCTCAGTGGAATTTCTGACAGAACAAGGAGTGCAGCCTGCTGACCTCACATGCCCTTTCTAAGTGCATCGGAGGAAGTAGAAAAATTCCCCACTGACATTACTGGACTTTGGATCACTCACAGGTCTTTCTAGTCCTGCTGACAATAGATGGAATGGAATTTCTGTGCCTACACTCTATTGATTGTAGAATTGGGGCCTTAGCTGTAAAAGAGCTCTGAATGAAATAGAGGAAAATAAATGTTCATGCTTAGGTACATAAATAAACTAAGAATGATCTCTCTTACGCTGAGCTTATGGATATTTTTGAAGTGTGGTTCTTCTTATTTGGAGGTGTTTTGGGGTTTTTTGTTAAGCTGATTTTTTTTTCATCAGCACTATTCACAAATTGCTTTCTTACAATAATAAGGAACACCAAACGGTTGCACATATATTGACAATATGAAATATGTACTGCAGAGAGTTAAGGTTTTTATTTAAGTTTTTTTCTGTGTTTCATTTTTGTAAGCAAACCCAAAGGTTTTGTCTTTTGTATACACAAAGGTTCACTGAAGAAGTAACCAGTGCTGGTTTTACTAGATGATGACCTTACCATGCAAATGGATTAAAATCCAGTCTTCCATTTGATACTTGATTGACTGATCAGTTTGCATTTTTTCTGGCTGACAGGAAAATCCAGTAGTTAACAAGTTAACAAGTTAACAAGTTGCCTACTCATTTTCTGTTCCTAAACCAGTGAAATTTTTGTCTCTGTAACTGCACCAAAGATGCCATAGATGTCCCCATGGGATACTTTGAATGTTGAGGTACTGTAAAAGGAAATTGATTGACCAGTGCTTTCTCCCAATGTGTGTTTATTTGTGGGAATGTGGTATGAGCAGATTCCTAAATGAACTTAATGTTTTTGTTCTAGGCCTGTACAGGAAAAAGTATTCCTTTTTTACTAAACACATCCAAGGGTTCCCCTTCAAAGCCAGGGCCTGTTTATCAGCCTTTTCCTAATTAGGAGAGATTTGTATTCTGACTTGCAACACTTTGTAAAAGCACTTTTTGAAGAAGCTTATGATTGGAGTCAGTAAGATTTCACTGGCAACTGTGGTGCATCTTTCCCATTAGATCATGTGTTATTTAATTTCAGCTCTTGAATGTGTTATTTAATTTCAGCTCTTGAATATTGGGATGGTCACACAGAACTGTACGTATTTTTTCCTTACCTCTGACAGTTTTAGTCCTTTTATCTTCCTCTCTATCCTGCAAGCAAAGTTACAGACTAGACCACAGATGTACAAGACCAGACTGGGAGCTGAAATTACATTCAAAACTCCAAGTCTCAGAGAGCAAATTTACTTATACAGCAAAACCAGACCTATTCAGTAGGTGAGCTTTGCAGCATACAATAACTTCCACCTTCTCCATACCTCATCCAAAGCTTTAAAGCTTAGGGATATTTTTCATTATTTCTATCTAACCATAAGAGAGTGCAGTTTGTGGAAATTTGGGAGAAGGGAATCAGAATCACAGAATTGCCTGGATTGGAAGAGGTCTTAAAGATCTTCGAGTTCCAACCCCCTGCCATGGGCAGGGACACCTTCCACTATCCCAGGTTGCTCCAAGCCCTGTCCAACCTGGCCTTGAACACTTTCAGGGATGCGGCAGCCACAGCTGCTCTGAGCAACCTGTGCCAGGGCCTCACCACCCTCACAGAAAGTAATTCTTTCCTAATATCCAATGTGAACCTGCTTTCTTTCAGTTTAAAGCCAGGAGCAAGTTTGCAAAATCCAATCTTTTTTTTTTTTTTAATTCTTTCTTTATCCTACATACAGACTGGAGAATGACATAAAAGAGAAAATACCATGTTGTATGTCTGTGGGGTAGAACTTCATCTGCCTCTGAGGCCTGGTTGGCTGTAGTATTAAATATTGGCAAGACTGTACTGTGAGGAACAAGAAACCCTGGAACGAATCCTCAGAACCAAAATGCAAGAACTAGAACATCAACAAACCTCAAATAATAAACATTTTATCTTTATGGTCATATACTTGATATTAGAAATAAACAATAAATCTTGTTATATAAAGACGCGTTGGACAGCGTGTATTAGAAGTGACTTAAAAAGCAGGGCAACAGTAGATCCAGTGTTTAGAATGCTGTCTTTCCTTGGTGTTAGTCAGGGTCAATCTATTTTAACACTTTTACTCCATAGTCTAGAACTGAGCAGTTCTAGACTTTGTGATTTGTGTGATTTGTAGCCAGTAGTTTACACAGAGTTAATACTGAACATTGTGGCATCATACAGTCCAACACATTTGTGTTGTATTTCTGTAGATTTCTGTTGGCTCCTTATCTGCTTCCACTGCAGGATTCTAGATTGGCTCTGAGACCATGTGTGTGAAAGTCATGCACAAAAGGGAATAATGGGCAATGTTTTTGTATACTGTCAATACAGGAATATTTGAATTTTTGCCTTGCTGTAAGAATCTCATTGACAAATTACCCTTGAATTCCTTGAAGCATTGAATTCCTTCACTTCCATCATTAGGTGGCAGAACAAAGAAGAAGCAGTAATCATTCCAGAGGCTGAGGTCACTTCAGTATTTTGAATTTTTTGCGAATCTTTACGTTGGCTTCTGACCAGAAGTGTGTCACGTCCTGCCAGCTCAGTAAATGGTGAGGTTAATTCCCAACTGTCTGGAATCATCCATGCAGACATGACCTTAGAGAGCCTAATTCCTTTCCACACCAAAACTGCCTTACAACACTCGAGACCCTGCTCTTCCTCTATTTCCTGTGCCCACGTTTGAGCTTACAGATTTTTCTCTACTCCTTTGATGAAGGGAATATGAGTAAGATTTGGTCTTATTTCCTGGAAGGACTTAGCCACCAATATAAATTGTTTATCAGGGAGACTCATAGAATTTATGCTCACTTTTAGATCACATACAGTGTCCTTGCAGTTATCAAATGGGCTTAGTTTAGGTACTGGAAACTCCATTGCAGGAGTGACATAATGTGTGGATGAGATTGTCTTAAATTTTTTTTTTATGTGGACATCCTGAATGCTGTACAGAAAGATTTTATAACATCTGTGTCATTCGCATTCTTTTTTCATCAATGGTCCATAAATGTGCCAAAGAAACACTGGAAAACACTTTTTACATGGGCACAATTCATGCCTTGCATTCAATTTAATGTTCTTGTGGGAATTGACAAAAAAAAATGTTTTCTTTTCTGTGCTCTGTCCAAGAATATTGTTCTTTTGAGGCTTCAAGAAGATTCATCTGCTACCATTGTTTTCATTGTTTATTAATTTTAAAGCCCACATAAAGCTAATAGTCCTGCTGCTGAATTAGAGTCATATTTGAACAGCAGAACATCACAGGAAAACCACCCAAGTTGCACTATCAAGTTTTGTGTTTGCTGAGTTGCTCAGGTTTTGTATTTGTTTCACCATTCATGATACGTCATTCTTGTGATAATAATTATAATTATGGTTATTATCCTATGATAGTAGCAATAATAGCAACAATGTTTTTCTGTAGTAGATGTGGTATTGATGTTTTATCCATGTCTTAAATGCTGTGTAATTGTAACCATTTTAATATGCATCAAAGATTCACACTAGCTTATATTGCCTGTAATTCCTCACATTTCAGACTTACACAACCAGCATTTTTAGATGTTTTCCATTATCTGGAATGAATAATACAATGCACAAACTATTACTGAATACACTCAAAATATTCTTTTTTTTTTCAGATGACAATTTTAAACAGTGCAGCAGTGAACACTAGTAAAACAATGAGATGTTTATAAATACACATATCCTAAAAATATTATTGCCAAAAAATTGCTAGAAATTGATCTCTTTTTTTTTTCAGATTTGATAATGAATCTGTAGTAATAGGTATAGAACACTGTCAGAAGTCAAATCATTGGTATTTGGTCTCTTTCTTCATGTTAAAATATTTTGTCTTCTCTCAAAAGCCAAAGCAAATGGCATTCTTTTTTCAGCAATGGCCCATTGATGGTCATCAAATGCCTCTCTGCATTTAAAAAGAAACTTGTTCTAACTGGCCCCCTCTGCACAATGCTGGCTCTTTAATCTAGGGAGAAACAGAACTGTTTTTGATGAATGAACTTTGAAAGATATTCCAGTTCTTGTGCTACTACCAAATTAGGGCACTGGTTAAGTGTTCACATCGATGTTGCTGCATAAATTTTCCAGAAGATGGCTGGTCATGGTGATATATGGTCAGTCTCTATTTTTGCAGCAATAATTTTAAATATTCCATTACTTGAACATCCCAGTCTTTTATTATGATCATAGATTACATATTTAGAGCATGATTGGGAAGCACTGGCTCCCAGGAAGTCAGCAGGAATTCTGCTGGTGGTTATTTACAGCTCAAATGTCTTCCACATTTCTTGCAATTGTGACCTTGATGAATATAATGCATACAGTTCTGTCTTTGTATGGTTCTGGTAATATACCAAGAAATTAAGAGCAGATTTTGTGATCAGTTCTTTGAAGAAAATGTCAACACTTTTTCTGTTGATGGTGTTGGCTGGAGATGTCGGTGAGGGAAAAACTTGTGTGTCATTATTACTACACTACTGGTCATAAAATAATATGACATGAGAATTTGTACTTCAAAATTACATCCAAAACCTCAAAATAAAATAAAAATAATTTAAATTAAATTAAATCAATTTTAAAAATGGTAGTTTATTCTTTTTAAAACTTGGAAGCATTGCAAGGTTGGCACTGAAATACATTAGTCTGACAAATGTTAATGATTTCCTGAGCATCCTGAGCAGAATGTTTTAGGAGCTTCTATGGAGCTGAATCAGGATGATGAACATCTTCTTGCTTGATTGCCACACTAGTATTAAAAACAAAGTTGTATACACAATAGAGAAGTCTTTATGTGTCTGCCAAATAAAATGGAAGAGGATCCAGATGTTGTGTCATAAGATAATGTATCATCTAATAATCTTCTTGGGAATCAGAAATACGTTTGCTTCTCAGATTAAATAATATTTCACTTGCACAGATTGGAACAAAAATTCCTATAAGCTCCAGACAGCAAGTGCAGAAGGTACTGATGGTGTCACAGGAATGACGGGACTACTCAGAAGAATAGGAATTATCACAAGCAGGGTGAGCATCAAGTTTCACTCAATTTGGCTATATCAATATGTAATATAAATGTCATAGTCACAATGTGTGTGCACATTTTCAACACGATTTTTCTTCAACAAATTTTTCGAAGAACAGGTGAGTTG